GAGTAACACGCCCCCCTGCCCTGGCTGACCAGCCCCAGTCCCTCCCTCCCCCACACCCCTTTCCTCCCTCAACCCCAACAAACTTACCAGCTGGAGGCAGCTGCCTTTTTAGTCTATGGCCGAATCTCCGAAGTGGCACCAAATCTTTCGGGTCTGATTTGGCCGAATTAAACTGGGACAGTGATTCAAATCACTGAATTGAATCACTGTCCTCTGAATCGGCTGAATCCGAAGCAAATACTTGCCACTTCACACAGGGCTACTGCCATTGCAGGATACCAGACAAAGGGAGACAAATGAAAACTAGAGGTGCACCGATACATTGGTCTGATATTGGATCGGTACCGATATGAAGAAAATTTTCTATATTGGATATTGGCCCAATGGGGCCAATAATTTGGCCAATAAATGCCTGTGCTGCACACAGCCGCACCACAGGATGGAGCAGAGCTGACAGTGTGGAGAGCTGCCTCCAGCTGGTAAGTCAGAAGAGGAAGGGGGAGAGAAGGGGTGTGGGGGGCAGATCAGTGCCCCCAGCGGTGAGGGAGGGGGCAGGGGCAGGCGTGGGAGGGAGGGTGGGGGGTGGGGGGGGGGGGCATTTGCCCCCCAGATCTCCGTGGCACAGGGCGGGCGGCAGCTGCGGAGTGGAGCTGGAGCCGGTGCTGCGCAGGGCTTTTCTTGCTCGGGGCTGGGCTCGGAGCGGCCTCTAGCAGTGCTGGGAGGAGTTTGCAGCCACCCCATATTTCGCCGCAGCTCCATTCCCAGCTCTGTGCCACCGCAGCTTTTCTCAGCGCTTGGGGGGATGCGGGGTGTTCAGTCGTGGCTGAGCTGGGTGGCGAATGGTGTTGTGGGGCTGGGAGCTGAGTTGCGGCAAAATTTGGGGTGGCTGCAGCCTCTTCCCAGCACCACCGGAGCCTGCTCTGAGCCCAGCCCCTCAAGAAAATCCCTGTGCAGTGCTGGCTCTGGCTCCACTCCACAGCTGCCATCCACCCCGTGCCGTTCCGTACAGATCTGGGGGCACACGCCTCTCTGCCCTCCCACGGTGCAAGTAGCAGCGGGATCCACCCCCACCCTACGAGCCACTCCTCCCTCCCACACCCTAACTAGACAGCTCCTGGCCCTTCCCCTCCCTCACCATGCGGGGCATTGATCTGCCCCCCACGCCTCTTCCCTTCTCCCTCCCCTTCCACCACACCGGACTTACCACATGGAGGCAGCTGAATCAGATATCGGATTGGTATTGGCAGATATGCCTCCTTAAATCTCGGCTATTGGTATCAGCCCCCAAAATCTTTATCGGTGCACCTCTAAGGAAAACTTCATTCCAGGGACTCCATTGGGGTTTGGTCCTAGGATCCAGAGCTTTAGGCTTTTCAACAAAGTGAGTCAAAAAGGAAATGAGCCAGAGAATGTTAGAAGAGAAATGCCACCTGGAAATGTCACCTCTAGCATGACAGGAAATCTTACCTATGTCCTTTCCTACACTGTCATACAAATAGGATATATTGTTATTACTTTGTGGAAAACAAGGAAACTAATCCCTGGTGTAATTCCATTGATTTAACTGGAGTGATACAAAGGTTTAATTTAGCTTGTAGATTACTGAGATCAGTAAAATTACTGGGAATTGGAATGGAGGAACTAGCCAGCTCAAGACCCACTTCTGTGACCTTTAGGACACCTCATCTAAGGGATTTTCATAGGGCAAGAAATACTGCTGAGCCTCAAGACAACTCTCTGGGTGCCTCATGAGTTTCCAAAATGCAGTTTTGTATGCATGCATTTTGCATTTCCAATGCTTCCTTGTTTCTAATTTCACAGGTAACTACAAAGAAAATTGGATGTTAGGCTTTGAGGGCTGAAGCACTAGAAGCCATTAATATATTTCAACCTATTAAAAACCTAGTGTCAGGGAGTTTTTTGAGCATACATTCCACATGCTCTATGCGTAGTAAACCATGCAGATTGTTCTACCCTGCCCTTACAAATGCCTTTAGCTCCCTGTCCCTGATAGATCCTTTTAACACATGATTCTGTGTGTGTCCACCCTGATATGCAAGTTATTAGCACTGGTTAGTTGGGAAATTAACTGCAGAAGGGAATTTCAAACATCCTTTTATGCATGCTGCCCAGTGGTTAGTGGGAGGAACCTCCCCCTTGGAATCCTCCCCAGGGAATCAGCCAGACTGAGAGTGGGCAGGTGAGTCCAGTGATGCCAGGTCACTAGAGGAAGGCCATTCTGTCATTCCCCCTATCTCACTGTTTTATATGCTTAGTGAAAACTAACAGTGCCTCCCACCTACTCCTTCCTAGGTGACAGATGCTGTTACACGGTGCTTAGTGCTTCTTGGGACTAGAACTGCTGCCAGAATTAGAGCTTTGGGTAGTGGGAGGGATTAAGCAGGACAGGAAGAAAACTAACAAATGGGTGTTTAGTTTCCTGACTTCCCCTGTACTAACATCCATCCCCTTCCATCTCTTGTTGGCTGAAGCAGTGCTCCTCCCCCCTGCAGGACAACATTCCTATAGCCCAACGTCGCCGCTTCACCCGTGTGGAGATGGCCCGTGTCCTGATGGAACGCAACCAATACAAAGAGAGGCTGATGGAGTTACAGGAGGCTGTCAGGTGGACAGAAATGATCAGGTGAGGTCTGAAGTTCCTGAACAACAGCATTTTGGAGCATGTTTGCTGGTGTCTTGCCTTATGATGTGTGGAGCCCAGTTAAAGGAACTAGGTTGTAAGTTGTAGAAAATTCTTAGAACTGTAGCTGCTTGTCTCCTGATCCTTAACATCTTCTCTCCTGGTGCTGTACCTGGGAGGAATCATGGGGAGAAAATAGCCTCTGATTAATGAATCTCTCCATGGCTGCAGCTGAAACATGAAATAACATTTGAGCCCCTAATCGCTATTGTAGGATTGTGACATGGGTACTGTTGATTGGAATTAGTATCACTTTGAATTGACAGCATTTCAGGTGTCCTGTCATCACTGGTGATGAGTGTTTGTAAACTTCTTTAGTTCTTGTTTTCTTTTGACCCATGCTGCTGAAATGAATTCTTAATTAGAATCCAAGCTGTGCAACTATTCTCTCTTTAGAAACATCCAATCAGATGGCATAAAATTGGATAAAAGAAAAAACCTTTCTTTGGTATGATGCTGAAATTAACAAGTTTTATAATGTTTGTCCTCAGAGCTTCCCGGGAGCATCCATCTGTCCAGGAGAAGAAGAAATCTACCATTTGGCAATTGTAAGTTACTTGATGATCAGTGTAGATAAAATGGAGGGAAATGGTGCTATTGCCATTGTCATTTTAAATGCCAGTCTGATGGACTCTGCCACTGGTAGTAAGCGGAGATGGAGCAAAAATGGAATTTCATTGGTCCATGTAAAATGGAAATTCTGGTGTGAACTGCACATGGTTTTGATTTTACAAAGCCACTGGAGACTAAAAACATCTGAGAGCAGGTAGATAAAATGAACACACACATGCATTCACAATCAATTTATAGTCAAGCCATTGCTCACAAGATATCTGATTCAGTCAGGATTGCCTCCGCTGGTGAAACTGAACTTGAAAATTCTCCCATCTCTAGAGCTAAGAGCAGGTGCACTCAATCCTGGACAGTTCCATTAAAGGCCTGGAGCACCTCTTCTGGCTTGTTCTTTCCCTGGGCTTGTTTTGAACTTTTGTTGTCTTTCTGCTCTTCTCTTTTCATATCTCTCTATTTCTTACCATCCCCAGCTTCAGCCGCCTGTTCAGCTCTTCATCCAGTCCCCCACCTGCGAAGAGGACTTACCCATCAGTGAACATCCATTATAAGTCTCCAACAGCAGCTGGGTTTAGTCAGCGTCGCAGCCACACCATGTGCCAGATCTCCTCTGGGAGCCGTACCCTTGAGTTCTTCCCTGAAGAGTGAGTCACCTGCTATGCACAAAGCCTGAACCTGCTGCTGTTCAGCCACACAGAAATAATTTTTTTTAAAATGGTCTTTTTTTCAGCAGACAATAGCTTAAATGTGTCAAACAGAATCAATTCCATGAAATAATTGTTCTTTTGCCTGTTTTTCTTTTTTGTTAAGGAAGACATATATGTTGAGGAGCATTTTTGTTTTTTGTTTTGTTTGTCTCTTTTTTTGCTAATATTGTTTGTACGTGATAAAAAACGTGTTGAGAGTTAATAGTGTTGTTCAAATAACCTTTGTTAATTGTAAAATATGGCTTAATAGCCCCAGGGTAAGAGTAACCAGAGTCACTCCATCAGTCACTGAAATTTCTCCAGATTTATGCTAGTTCAGGTCATAGTTTGGGCCTTTGCAAACACAATAGTGTGCTGGTTTAAGGGAGACCTGTACAGGGGGAGACTGGCAAAATTGCCATCCTGAGATTCATAGCATCAAGGGTGGTGATGTTCTTGGCTTCTCAGATATGGAGATGCATCCCCTTGCTGTTTTTCCCTTCTGCAGTTTCAGATTAGGTAGCTAATCTTCTCAGCAAGCAAATCCAGAAGACATTACGCTGGTGAGACCAATAAACAGTTGATTGGAAGGAAAGAGGGAAGGATTTGGAATGCCTTCATGCTAAAGTTGTGGGGTCAATAAAAATGCAGGAGCTGCCCACCCAGATAATCCTTTGGTCTCCTAGGAACATTCTCCTAGACAGTTGATCCTCCTTCTCTGAAGAACTGCAGGAGTGTTCCCAAGGAGATGACAAGGGCTCACCATGCTACAACAGATGGGATGGAAGGGAGCTAGACTTCCTGGGTTCAGTTCTCAACAGGATTTTTATCTCTAATTTCTTGCATCTCTTGTTTCTGGCTTTATATTCTCTGACTTTTGACTAACTTTTCTGCCTGTGCTTCTGCTCCTTGACCTTCTGCCTCTGTTTTTAACCATAGATTGAGAAGTAACACTGTTGCTTCTCTCCTCAGTGACTGTACATCATCCGCACGTCGCGAACAGAAACGCGAGCAGTACCGCCAGGTCCGGGAACATGTGCGGAATGATGATGGTCGCTTACAGGCATGTGGGTGGAGCCTTCCTGCCAAGTACAAGCAGGTAGGCACATTTGCAGAGGAGGAACAACAGGTGATCACAATGCCAAATGAAACCAGTGAAGACCACACTTTCCCATTGGTAAATACACTTTTTATTGGTTCAGCATGTGGATTGGAGGCACACAGAGATTTGTAGGCTGAAGTGAAATTCATCCATTGTAAATGTCTATTGAAGTGAAAAGAGGCAGTATTCTCTTACTTAGAAGTGTTTGGAAGGACTCAATCTTGGAAGCAGAAATAATTCAACTTCCTCTTCTAAAGTCCATTATTTATTTATTTATTTATTCAAATGAAAATAAAGAAAACCTCCCACTCTCAGGCTCCAAAACCTGCCAGTTATCAAGCAGTACCAATTGCAGACTAAAATGCAATCAGCTCCCCTTTCTACCCAGTAGCAGCACAAGGTGAAATGCCCTCAGCAGAGCATAACCATCTATACCATACCCTACCTACTTCTGGTCAAAGGTCAGCTGAAAGAAATGGGCTCTGCATCATGCCCTGAATGTGGGTGAATCTCCCGTGGTTGTTTCAGACTAGAGGGTTGTGTCTTGGGTTTCATGCCCTGTCAGCCGTGCCTTCATGTCATATCAAGGAGGACCTAGCATCACTGCCTCTGCTAACTGTAACCATGGCAATATGTAATGGTGGAGAGAGGTGATCTTTCAGGTACTCTTATCCCAAGCAATTAGAGGTTCCATTCTACATAAGTGAGACAAAGTATATGCAGGCTTTGGCAGTGAGTAACTACAAGGCGTTTCTGAGGCTGATGCTTTCCATTGCACCTTGATGGCTGCATTTGTGTTCTTATAACCTAGCATATAAGGATGTCACACTCTTCTCCTGTCTGTTCTTCTCCCATAGTTGAGTCCCAATGGTGGCCAGGAAGACACCCGAATGAAAAATGTCCCAGTTCCTGTGTACTGTCGCCCACTGGTAGAAAAGGACCCCACCATGAAGGTAAACACTTAGTTACATGTTTCTTCCTACCATTCTGATTACAAAAGGTCCAAACCGTGTGTTGTTACCAAGATACACAGACAATTTTTATTCATTTAAATTTTTTGATGTGGCCAGCTGTTCAAAGTAACCCTTAATTCAGAAGACTCCTTCTCCTGCTTGCTTTTAAAAATGATTCATTTCTAATGTGTGTAGGAAAACAGCACATCTCTTTATAAGGGCATAATTCCCAGCTGATTCTGGTTGCCAAGAGACAGTCCTCTAGTTCAATTTTAGATCTTTTGCTTCTTTTCAAAAATGAATTGCACAGTGCTAGCAATCACCTGAACTTCATAAAGCCCTTCTCACAAAGAAGCCTTAGAGTGTCAAATGGTGAAATGATATAAAAAAATAAAGTGGGTAAGAACAACTTAAGGCTCATATAAATATATTTCTTCAGCCTTATTTTGCATGCAACCCCTAAGAGTTGCCAAAAATTAGCTGCTGTGTAAGCTGAAGGACGTCAGTGCAGTTGTGCCTGTTTTTACAAGGATTGAAAATGATCCGTCACATGTGGAGTTGCATTTGGCAGTAGATGGCGTAACTTCAAGTCTGTGCAGGTGACAGGTTATCACCAAAGTTCTGTACTGTGATGATTACTCTGTCACTCAGATGGACTCTTCTCCCTACTCCTCTTGTTTGGAGTCTTATTGTTTAGATAGTATTGCCAGTTGATTTTGCAACTGCAACATAGCATTAAGTGGTAAAAGAACTCTCACATTGCCGCTGAGATTAGAAGAGTGGCAATGATCTCTCATCAGTGTTCGTGCTTGATATGTTTTCTCTTGAGGGTTTTGATGGATTTGGGTATATTATCCCACCCCTCACAACCTCATAAACAGTAATGGAAATTGTCTCTAGTGGAATGGGTTGTTTCTATTGCAGAGAAATAGACAACTCTGTTCAAGCCTGCAGGAAGCCTTGTTCTTAGGGGCCATTTTGGCATTTGTTTTGCATACATATCCTAAATAAGCAACAGAAGTATGCTTTGTCTACATGTGTACTGTAGCATCAGGCTCTAAAAGCCTTGTTTCCAATTGTGGACTGTATTGCTGATTTTCTATGGCTGTTTAACAGTTGTTATTAAAACAGTTAATTAATTTTGTAGTGATTTCTATGTAAGCAGCCTTGTTTCAATATCATTTATTTGCACTGATTTTTTTTAAATTAATAAGTATAGGTAAGGTGGCTATTATTACCTGTAGATGTAATATCAGTATAGTAGGGAGCAAATCTTACTGCATTATTTTCCGACTGAAACTAGTTGGCATGTGAAGGTTGCTGGTTCAGAAACCACATTGTCAAAATGAGTTCATTGACGCAATCTCTAAGCTTGAAAGGAGATTTTCAAAAAATTCAGGCACATAATTGATTTGTACAAGCTGTTCTTGGTAATTGTGTGCTCAAATGCTCCTGTATAGGCATTTGTGTATTATATTACCTTATTTGCCTATGAAATGGTGTTAATTGTGCATGCACGCTGTGTATGCAGTTGTAGACTTAGCCTGCTTGCAGATCTAGCCCTAAATGTTTATGTGAACATATTAACTCCGATGCCCTGCTTCATGGGTAATCCTAGGAATGTCACTGTAGGGGAAGTACATTAGACTATAACTTTATAGGGAAAATGAACGGCCCTTATCTTTTTCACTTTCGAACCTGTATCTGGGTATGTTACTGAGAAGGAAATGTTGGCCAAACCACTTGGGAATGTCCCTTTCATTGTCCTGTTTGAAATGCTGTGGATTGGGATCTCCAACTTACTCTTCTGGAATTGCTAGAAATAGGTGGAAGAGACCTTGATTTATCATTTATTCAAAGTCTGAACTAATATCTACTGGTTTTGCTGAGGAAAGGAGATTACTGAGCAGTCCTGTCTGCTGATTCACTTTTCAGTTTCAATCCTCTCCCTGTGTCACTGATCACATGCCCCTGCAGTCAAAGAACAGCCAAAGTATAGTAGAGTTTGTTTTGCCTTAATTCTGGTTGCTCTGTCTGAAATCAATCTAGAGTGAGGTGGATGTCAAGGGTGGTTAGCAAATATGGAGCCTATCCTCTTTGACCCCCTGTTGATATTGGTTAGGGAAATCTTTCCTAATGCCCATCAGATAATAACAGCTGCCTCCTGCTTCTTCAGCTGAGAGCATTTGGGAGCACTTCCACTGTAGTGCTGTGTTCCTTTCACAAGCTCAATTTAACCTATCATCCAACTTATTCCCTTTTTTTTTGCTAAGTGTATCTGTTAAGTTGTCTCTATGGAGATGTAGTGATTTCTATTAGGCAATAGATTTAATCTTTCCTTTCTCATCCAAATCTAAGTGTGGCTTCTGCTAGAAGTTAACAGGTCTAGTTTTTCTCACATAAATACTGGCAACTGTTAGGTCTGTGTAGAGAATGTTCTGAAGAACTACTTGAATCTTGTAAGATTTGACAATAATTAGCCTACTAAAATGCTTGCTTTGGTTGTTTAGCTGTGGTGTGCAGCAGGAGTCAATCTGACAGGGTGGAAGCCTTTTGAACAGGAGTCTGGGAATGGACAGAAGCTGGAACCCGGACGTGATCCCCTCACCTGTGATCGGGAAGTGGAAGGAGAAAACAAGAGTAACCACACATCTCCAGAAAAGAAAAAGGTCAGAAAAGGGAACTTTGGATTTTGCTGTCTTTATATTTCTTAGACCTATCCCTCTCTGGCTCCCATCATTGTAGGATCTGAATTATGCTCTGACATGTCTTGACTCTGTCTGTGTAGTCTTTCCTTCTTTTAGCAGTGTTTTATGCAGCAAGGTTAATTAACAAGGGTTAATGCTATACTCAGCTCAGTCAGTGTCTCCTGTGTGGTCTTGGATCTTGGATAACCTCGCCAAGCAGTCACCTTTTTCCCCACTGTCATGTGCTTGAAGATCCACAGATGTGAAATGCTTCATAAGAACACAATTATAATTTGATGATGATGATGATGCAGTATTTCATCATCCTTATATTGCATCTACATCTGTCATGACTGCATCACATTGGTGGCTCCCAGTCATCCTGCAATTGATTAATACACCCAGATCTTTCTCTTCCTCATTATTGCTTCTTTTGTAATACAGAAGCCTTGCTGTCCAGCTGTCAAAGAGGCACTCAGTAGAGGTACGCAACATAATGGCTCATTTCAGTCAGCTTTCCAGTGGAGACATTTCAGTAAGCTGTAAGGATGGGAGAGACTAGAACCAGTGATGACTCTGATTTTGTAATTTATAACAAGTGAAAGTGCAGCAGAGCTATAGGTTGCTCTGTAGTTGTAGCTCCTCTCTGTTCCCAGGTCTTATAAAAGTAGGATGTCTCAGATGCCCTGGGAATCAGAATAAGATGGTAATGAAGTGGTTTTCACTCTCCAGTCTCTCTGACTCCCAGTTATGTTGTCAGCTAAGAAGTGTGTTTATTGTGTAGTGGGCTATTAGACTCATTCCCTGCCCTGTTTTACTAGGCAAGAAAGATTTTTCTGGAATGAGTTGTTGCTGCTTCTAAACGGCTTGTTCAGCTTCTTTTCACTGAGTGTAAACCTAGGGAGGCATTCAGCCCATTTTATTGCTGTTGAAATTCAGCCAGAGGGCACTCACGGCTGTTCTATGACAGTTGTATCTGGGGAGCTGTACTGGATCTTAATGACAGGTTGGTTATGATAATAGGAGATAGAGCTTTTTGCTTGGGCTGACAGTTCAGGTGCAGCGTAGGTTGTCAGCCACTGTAAGTTGCTCCTGTCTGCTAGCTGTTAAGTGACCTAAATGAACGGAATTCCCAGTACTATTAATTGGGAGATTCAGCAGAGAGACCAAGAATCATCTCCCCTCCTCTCAAATGGGTGATCTCTCTAGGCCTGGGTTGAAGATCCTGGGAGGAAGTGTGGGGCACGCTTACATTTCTGTAGTTCATTTTTATGCATCTTCACTTACTAATGAAAAGCTTTTGCTCTCATTGGTCTGCTCATATGATAAATGTTGTCAGAACTTGGTTGACTAGCTGAAATCCAGGCAACACCAGTCCTTACCACACATTTTGCTCTCCTGCAGGCTAAGGAGTTGCATGAGATGGATGCCACATCCAGCCGAGTATGGATTCTCACGAGTACCCTGTCTACAAGTAAAGTAGTGATCATTGATGCCAATCAGCCAGGCACAGTGGTGGACCAGTTTACTGTCTGCAATGCCCATGTACTCTGCATTTCCAGCATCCCTGGTAAGTGCAGCCAAAGCACTGTTTCAAGCTTGGACAGACTAATCGGTTCCAATGATTAGTCAGTGGCACTTATTTATTCCATGGCTAACAAGTGGTAGCTGCCTTGTTCAGTAATTGTTTCCAGAGTTGTTAACAGAGCCATCCCTAGGGGTGTGGCCAGAGCCAGTGGAGTGTGGGGAGAGGGAAGCAGCTGGAGCTGGCAGCGCTCAGTGGCAGCAGTGCATGACAGTCACAGTGGGGCCTATGCAACACTTACCACAGGGCCCCCCAAAGCACAGGGTCCAGGGCCCAGGGTGGTTGCCCCGATTCACCCCTCCCTAGGGATGGCCTTGGTTGTTAACCAATATTTTGCCTCCATGTAGGACCAGACTGTAGATGTTACTAATATTGATGAGTACTTGCACACACAGGTAGTTCCTTTGCTTTCCATAGAACTACTTATGTGAGCAAGGGCTCACCTGGCCTTGATAGTGGAGACAGGCCAGGACACTCTCCATGGTCCTGGAATGGTGCCACGGCGTCTTTGTCAGAGTTAGGCAACCCCTGGCATGCATGCCAATTAGCAGCATGTGGGGACATTTTTCTTGGCACTCCTGGAGGTGTGCCAAGGAAAATGTTTATAATTTTTTTTTTAAGTTGCTGCTCTGGGCTCTCTGGAGCAGCAACAGCTCCCAGCACTGTGTCAGGGACTGGGGGCGGAGTTGGGAGAGCACAGGCAGGGACACAGGGACACTGCCTGCGTTCTGCTGACCCTGCCCCCATGTCTGTGGTGGTGCATGGGGGAGCCTGCAAAACCAAAGGAGCCGCTGTGCACTCACTCCACTCTCACTGATTTTGGCAGGTTCTCCAACCCCGCCCCCCAACCTCTCGCTGCTGGCTCCTGATGTGTGTAAAGGCAAATACTGCAGTTTTTGCTGATCAGCAACAAAAAGTGGGGCTGCCAGTGCCCCTTGGCCAATCAGCAATGAGTGGTAAAAACAGTGCCATATTTTAAACTGCAGTGTTTTCCTCCCTGCAGATTAGGAGTGAGGGTGAGCAGTGGGGCTCCTCTGCCAATCAGGGAGGGAGGGGTGCACACAGGGAAACCTTCAAGATTAAAGGAGCTGCTGCACAGCCCACTCCCTCCATTGATTTGGTAGTTCCCTAATCTGGGGTGGTGCTAAGGGAGCTTGGGGGGCTATTGCCACCCCAAAATTCATGCTAGCTTCCTTGTAGCCACCCCTCCCAGTGCTGCCTCTCCCCACCAGGCCCCTGCTGCCTGCCCTGTACAGCTGAACCTACCCTGCTTCCACTCATGGCACAGCCCCACTGGGAAGAGGTTGGTCCTGCCCATGTCCCTAATCAGGGGGAACACGTAGGGGGGGTACATACCTCCTGTGGCCCCCCTAATTTCCGCTAAAGTTGCTGGCACTGCACTGCTGGCCAGGTCTGGGGCTGGTGCGGTGGCAAACAGCCTGAGCCCAGCCACCATGCCATGCAGGAAGCTTCCCCTGGTGCCGCCTCTGTACCTGCCTGCATTGTTCGCCCGCATGCCTGCATTGCTGGTGGGGAAGGGGGCAGCCAGGATCTGGTGGGTGCTTCTTATTGTTTCTTTCTTCTCTTTC